TTCCAGCCAACTTTTAGATTCTTCCTCCCAGAGACCGAGGGTAGGGGTCTCAGTCATTTATTAGCAGCTGTAATTACATCTACCAGCCACATGAATTTGAGCTCCATTTGATTCCTGGGCATATTACGCTCAACGCAACAGATACACACAACTGGTCTCTAAGAAATATCCTGATGACCTTTGTTTTCCCCTGGGAGTGGCTGGAATGGCTTGGGGTCTGATATCAGAGTGGGCAGGCAGTAGGCACGTGTCTTGGACGGACCATTGAGCGCCAGAGCACAGAGCCTTAACAGTGGGCATGGAAACCAGGCAGCATCCCTGGTGTGGGTGCTGACATGTCTATTCTGGGCAGAGTGGGTTCTCTGACAAATCCAAGCAGACTTACCAGGAACAGGATCTGGCTGGAGTGGACTCTCCTACAATCTCGTCTCTCTCTCTCTCTCTCTCTCTCTCTCTCTCTCTCTCTCTCTCTCTCTCTCTCGTTTTCTGATTATCTCGTTCTTCATCTCTCTCTATCTATCTATTATCAATGTCTACTTCCACTCCCTGGCCCGAGGTTGTCCCATTGCCAACTTCCGCAGTCCAGAGATAATGAACAGCTTATTCAGTACAGTGGAAACTCTTCCCCCTCTGTTAGACATCTATTTCTGACCATTAATTTGGCTGATAATGCAAACATACAGTATCACCAATCATAAAGCAATCGCAACCATTAAGACATGTTGAAAGACGGAATCGATGGTCAGCTGTGTTATAGAGTGTCATGGTTTTGAGGAAGGGGTTATAAATGGGTCTGGGCATTTAGCCAGTTAATAGGTCATTGTGAGACAATAGGGGGTTCAGTGAGCACTTTGTGCACAAACAGTGCATGAAATCCCACTGATGGGCAGTTCTAAGAGCAGGGCATGTTGATGCAAATAATCCCTAATGAGGAGTGCTGGCATGGGCAGATGGGCACAACTAGGGGACATGGCATGGCACAGTGAAAGTGGGGGATGATATTAAGGTTGCCAGTTTATAGTTTTTAACCAGGAGCACATTTTCTTAATCAAGTAATAGTGTAATCTCTGTTCATTATAACCGGATAGATCATGATACAGTGCAGGAATGCAGTTCTTCCTTTGAAATTGATGATTAATTGGATACATTTCCTTTTAAAGCAAAAAAAAAAAGTGAGTTATAGATCTGTCATTATCATTGAAGGCAAGTCTAAGAAGCGATAGATCTGTTCTATGTGCGCTATTTTTATGCTTCCCTTTCTTAAGTTTAGTTTTTGCTTCTTTTACTTTCGTTTTGTACACCAGCTTCAAACAGGTGAAAAAACAATATTTTTGGTTATTGAAAATATAACTCACAGCAGTTTAGATTTGTACAATGATTCTCTACGGTTGTTTTTGTCACATAAACCGAAATTAGGTGAACTATTCGCCAACCAGGAAATGGCGGAGCGATTTCTGCATATTACAACTTTTGAATATGAATCATGTAGGAGTACAAACGCACACCTGCACCACCTTCCTTTCTGTGGCTAGGCAGACTGTAGCATGCCAATGATAATCCATTCCATTTCTTTCGTAATCGCATGGATTGTGTTTGCAGTACATTACCTTCAGCATTCCTTGTGCTTTTACACTATTAACTGTGGCCACTGCCGCTTCTTGTGAAATAGGCTTGAGTGTCTGTAAGGACATGTTAGGTTCGAAGGTTATGGTGTTTAATAATTTAGCTATCCACGTTGGCAATAGAATAAGCTTTCAAATTGTACCCACCTGACACAGATTGCGATATATAATGGAAAGTTTTTTGGATTGTGTGATGATGGGGACACAGGGCTGTGTTCCAAACAAAACAACAAGTGTGCTTGCTTCAGTTCCTCGGTGGCAAAGCTAGGAAAGCTACAAAATAAAAGCCCCTTACAGTTGAAAGCTCTTTTCTTGAGTCATAAAAGTGCATTGAAATTACTTTCAAGTTTGGACAAGTGTGTGGCCACTTGGAGACACCAGTTAGACTTCTCACTCAAACTCAAACTCACCCTTGTAATCTTTTTTCTTATCTTACTCCAAAATTACAGTGAATATTCTTATTATGTTGAATGTATCCAGGTTATTTCCAGATTTTGTTATTGACAAATGCTGTGAAAAGTACGGTAAATGTAAAATGCACATAAAATCAACATTGTAATGTTTGGATTCAGTCTTGTGTAAGGTGAACAGTTGTGTCCTCACCTTTGATCAGACAATTTCCCCATAATTTCCTAAGTCTTTTCTTTCAATTGCTACCCTGGTCATGCATATGCTTTTTATAGGTTATTCTGTTCGAAATATTTCAATTTGTCCCGACATAATGCATATAAAAAGTATTCAGTGTTCATGAAGTAGGCTATTATTGTGGCAGTATCCACTTTTTTAAATGAACGCCTTGGATCTAATTGCATGCAGTTAGATTTAACGAGTGGTCTGTATTCTAAAATATAGACCTAAAGACCGCAATTACATCAGGTGATTATTTAGGATGACTTGATTGGTGATGGAACGCTGACTTGCGCCTAATGGTTGTATAGTTTGGCTGAGAGCGCGATGCTAACTGTTGCAGACAGCTGTCTGTGAAGTGACAGTGGAGTCAAGCTGCCCTGAACAACATATTTATGGCCCACTGCAGCCCTGAAAGAGGATATAGAGAGAAATAGTAACGGTGTCATTTTGTAGGCACTAACTCCGCCATGGTTCCTTGGACAAAGCCTATTGGGAAATGAATGGTGTTTTTGGTAGGGTTTTTGGATAAACGCCCATAATAAGGTTTGTGGTAAACACAGGCTTAGGAGATCTTATACGTTTTGTTCTATGATATAATCTTCATCAGCTAACGTCACTTTTTGTGAATTTTGAAGCTTTTATGTAATAAAGAAAAACCACAAAGCACATAAAGGCTTCGTCATTCATAAAGGTCATGATAACTGACTGATATTATCTCTTAGAACAAAACGTATTTCCTAAGATCTCCTAAGCCTGTGTTAACCTCAGACCTTATTTTCGGCTTTTATCCCAAAACCCTATTCTTTCCCCATTCATTTTCCCCATAGGAATGGCTGAACGAACCAGAGGTAATTCATTTCCGGGTTCTAGGACTACAAGCTGGTGAGCTCTATTTTACTTTCTCTGAACTGGAACACTGTCTGTATGACTGTCGCCATGGCGATGGAAAAAGAAAACAGTTTTTTTTCAGTGTATGGATCTGGATCTGACTGCAACCCACTGTGGTTGGAAATAGTAGCCTATGCGTTTCCTCATGGCTTTTTTGCGTTGTCGCCACAGGCTATCAGTGTGTTTCAGTCCCCAGTTTTCGACGTACCTGATAAATGTGTGAACAAAATATAATTTAGACTAATGAAATGTTCTGCCTCGATCTCTCTTCCCCTAAGGGCACTGTTTCTAGTTTTTCTCTCTTACACACATGAATGCACTACAGACTCTCTGACACATCAATAGCAAGAGAGAGAGAGACAGATGCACTGAAGAGAAAGAAGTGATCTCGGTGAATGTAATCTGATATAATGTTCTTGGGTGCTGTGAAAGGTTAGCTATAATGTACAGGCGCTTTATATAGTCGAGTCAGGCAATACAAGTTCACTGGCTATATCAGGGCATGAACCCTCCATGTGAGCTGTTTGAACAGTGGGAATAGTGGTTCTTACAGCCTGTTGCATCACTTTAATGGGCCAGTGGGTTTCTTTTATTTCCTCTCCACCTGGTGCTGACTGTGTAATGCACAAACAAACACTGACATGAATGGAGTTGAATTCAATCAATTGTTTGATTAGTAATATGAGTGGGATCTGGCTATACCTCTTTGGCTTGTAAACAAGATTGATTAGTGAAATCATTTCAGTCCATAGGGCTATTTGTGCTTTCCACCCTGACTTGTCTAACTATCAAGTTACAGGAATCTAATTTTAGTCGGTCACATCAAAGCTTATGTCCATGTTACCGTAGCTGTGGCTATAGCCTATCTCTCTTTTATCTTTCATATGATCTATATATGTCATACTACATACAAGAAGAAAGTGTGTTTACTCTCTTAGGCATGGGGTCTGGAGACATGCAGTTCTCAGTCAGATCCTCTGTGTGTAGGGAAAAAAGTCAAGCAGTCTGTGATACTGGATCTGAAATGTGTAAACCAGGGTGGTTGAGGGTGACAAGCTTCCCGTAAAGTAAATGTCTAGTGTGCCTCTGCAGTGTAGGATGGTATGCCTGAAGGGTGTCTCCCTTTACTGTCGCTAGCTAATCACTCCTGGTCCAACCCACTCCATCAGTGTGTGACTGTGAGCACACGTGTGTGGGTGGGCGTCTTCTTTTAGTAACAGCCCTGCATGTGCTGAAGCACTACAGAGGTGTGTTAGTAGCTTCCATTCATTTTACTTTTCTTTCTTTCGCTCGCTTATCATAATCTAATCTCGATTGCACACATTTATTTACCCCCTCATCAGTCATTTTCGCCTTCTGCCGTTGTTTAAGTTTGTTTATTCAGAAGTATTTTTTTCCCATGCCAACTTTTCCTCAACTGTAGAGAAAAGGTAGGAGGAGCCGTTTGGAGCAGTGTGCCTCTCTCTCTCCCCTCTCTCACACACACACACTCTCTCTCTCTCTCTTCCTCTCTCTCTCTCGCCTTCTGCCGCTGCATGCGTCAGACCGGAGTTTGTTCACTTCCAAGCAAGTCTGACTGAAGGGGGGAACAGTACTCTTTTGACTTTAGTTTCTGGAGTTTCCTCACGCGCTCAAAGGCAACAAGAAGAGAGTGACGAAGAAGCAATAAGAGAGAATACAGGATTTATTCATATTTTTTTTATTGGATTGAAAAGCACGTGTCAGACTGTTTTAGCCACTGGACCCTTTCAGAGACTGAGAAGTGAGGTCATCCTGTAATTCATTCTCCCTTGGCCGAGTGGCTCCAGCTTTGCTGTTTGTCATACTTTGAAGAGACAAACACACACACACAGAGCAACAATGGTGGCCGGAATGGTGATGCCCTTGGCGGACTTGAGGGCCATCTACGAGCTCCTGTTTCGTGATGGCGTCATGGTGGCCAAGAAGGACAAGCGGCCCCAGACCAAGCACCCAGAGATCCCCAGCGTGGGAAACCTGCAGGTGATCCGCGCCATGGGCTCCCTCAAGTCCAGGGGCTACTTGAGGGAGACGTTCGCCTGGAGGCACTTCTATTGGTACCTGACCAACGAGGGCATTGTTTACCTGCGCGACTACCTCCGTCTGCCTGCTGAGATCGTCCCCTCTTCCCTGCAAAGGGTTCGCCGTCCAACAGGCACCTTGGCCATTGCCCAAAGGGCAGCACGTGGGGTCCAGTCAGTGGACGGCCCCACATCTTATGTCCCCAAACCTGGCAAGGAAGAAAGTCAGGAGGCGATGGCTGAGCGCCAGGTCTACCGACACAGGAGGATGGGTGCAGCCGAGGAGGAAGGCCCCTCTGGCCAGACGCCAAGGTTCAGAGGTCGCCCGATGGCCGCCGAGACGGTCAGACCAAGAGCATCATGGGAATCTGAGGCCATGGCCCAGCCTCCCCTGAGGAAGGGACGGGGCTTCCGCACTGAGGCTTCAATGATGGAGGAAAGCCAGGTGAAGAGGGCCTCCACAGTTACCTTCTCTCAGAACACTGAGGCTAGTAGCAGTAAAGCAGTGGTTACCTCCCAGGAGAAAATCATCACTAAGGTCCACGCAGAAAGGTCCCAGGTGGTTCTGGTTCAGAAAACACATGAATCACAGGCCAGCATCAAGTTCAGTCTCTTCCAAAAACAACCCTCCCATTAGCTGTAACTGCAGTAGCTAGTGCTGCAGTAGTTGGGGCTGCAAGCAGTGAAGGTCTCAGCTGAATCCTCTCTCAATAAAGCAGGTAAAGAGAAGCCCAAGAAAGCTGCAGCAGTGACCATCTCTGAGGAGACCCCCAAAGTCTCAGCTGAACCTGTCCCCAGCAAGTCAGCCATTCCAGCACCCCTGCCCCCTACTAAAGAGATTAAGGAGGAAAACAAAACAAAGGTGAAGGAGATTCCAAAACCCAAGAAAGTGGCAGAAATGACCGTCCCCCTAGAGACCCCCAAACTCTCAGCCGAACCCCCCAAATCACTCAAAGTTGACATCACTGCTCCCTTACCAGTGGTCAATGGCAATGACGGTGTTGTCACTGAAAAGGTTATTGAAAAGGTTATCGAAACTAAAAAAGTGATGATTGAAGATGGCTCCAAATCAAAGAAGAAGAAAAAATCTCCCGGAGAAACAGAGAAGGCTGTGATTGCTGACGAAACACCTGTCACAAAGGTGTCCCCAGAAAAAGGACTGAAGACCCCCGAGGAAGAGACACAGGAGCCCCCCAAACCCCCACCAGCTATTACATCGTCAACAAAGCCCAAGGGACCAGAATCCACTAAAGAAACTAAGGCTGAGGTTAAAAAAGAAACTAAGGCTGAGGTTAAAAAAGAAACTAAGGCTGAGGTTAAAAAAGAAACTAAGGCTGAGGTTAAAAAAGAAACTAAGGCTGAGGTTAAAAAAGAAACTAAGGCTGAGGTTCAAGAAGAAACTAAGGCTGAGGAACAAAAATCTAATGAGGCTGTTCATCAGACCCCCAAACCAGCAGTGGAACAGAGCAACACTAAACCTGTAGTATCACAAGCTGCACCCCATCCCATTGCAGCCCCTCCAGCTGAGCCTCCAGTCACTGTCCAAGTGCAGGAGAAGGCTGAGACGACCAGTAAAGTGACCTCAGGCTCAGCTGGAAAAATACCCCACAGGTCAGAGATGAGTGTCACAAAAGTGGAAACGGTGACAGTGCAGAAGACCATAAAGACGGAGATGACACAGGAAGCCCTCAAACCTGTGGAGATTACCTTTACACTTCCACCGCAACCTCCACAACCTGCCATAGTGCCAGAGGCTAAAGCCCCTATAGAAACAGCTGTGGTTGATTCATCAAAGACAAAAAAAGCGAAAAAGAAAAAGCAGGTTTCTGCCCCAGACCGTGAGACCACAACCACAAAACCATTATCCCCACCTGCATCTGAAACATTATCACCAACAGAGGAGGTGTCGATGACCAGGGCCGCCATTAAGGTTGACCTCCCAAACACCCTCGGGGGAAAAGTAATGGACGGCTCTCCAAAGATACCTCCTGAAAGAATGTGGTCTGAGGAAACCAGCATGGCAGCAGCTGTGCAGGACTGGGGCCCCTGCTTTAGACAAAGGAGAGGCGGAGTCTTCCCAGCTCTCTGCTGAAAAAATCAAACGGGAGGACCCGAAACCAAAAACCCTCTGCGAGGGAAGCACCCCTTGCAGCCGGAGAGACAGCGTCAGCCGGAGCTGTGGCACGGGCCAGCCTCCACACTGAGCAGGGGGAGCTTCCCAGAGTTGTTGCACAACACTCAGCCACTCTAGCAGCAGCACAGAACACAGAGGAGGAGAAGGAGAAACGTTTATCTGTTCCTCCCAAGGCCTCGGAAAAGGACAAGGAACCCCCACAGACCACTGCAGCCACCGCCCCTCTGCCAGCACAGCCTCACCTGGAGGACACCCGTGACCAGTCTGTAGACGAGGCCAACATGAGGAAGAAGATAGTAGTGGTGGAGGAGGTGATTGAGGTGCAGCGCATCACTAGCCCGCAGGCAGTGGCTGGAGGAGAGGTTCCTCCTCCTGTTGTACCTGAGATAACAGGGCAAGAACTGGACTTTGATGTCCTGCATGCACTGGCCATCGAACGGGCTCTCCTGGCCGGGGGAGCGGTGGTCGACTCCGCCCAGAGCGCCATCTCTGAGGATGACTGGGACCACTCTCTGGACGTACCCGAGGAGAAGACCTTCCCCAACTTCATAGAAGGTTTGAGAGAATTTCTTGTTTCCCCCTAGTTACTTCCTGTCCTGTGTGTTTGATGTGTGATGTCACTGGAGTTGCCAAGGTTTCCTCCCTTGTATGTACTGTGGGAGGTGGGCGTTGTGGTGATGGCACTACCATGTATTTTACCATGTGCTATTATGTTCTATTTGCATATGGTATAAACAGTGTTTAGGTTATTATACTTGTTGGTTTATGAATCTTTCCCTTCAGAGAATATCCTTTGAAGTTGAAATGATGGTATTAGTTTGGTCAGCAAAAATCTGTATTATAGTCCCAAGCCTTAGTTTCAGTGTTTGATTTTCTGGATCTATTCTATTATAGAGTCGGTTGCTCTTTAGGAATTGTTTGTGAGATGATGAATGTGTACAAACCAATTACGATGAAGCTGTGATTTAGGCATCTTGAGAGAGCATGCTACTATAGTAGTTCACACCCTATTGTATATTCATATGATTTCTGTTTCACTGGCAGGGAAGATAACTAAATCTTATACATACTATAAAGTGAAAAATGTGATAGATGTTCATGCATAACACCATATTGTAGCATACAAACCATGTTGAAACATGTATTTTATTGTACAAACAGCAGTGCCACATGACTTTGAGTTTAGACTTGAGCAATGCACACTCACTGTCTCCCTGCCAGAAAGGATTCAGACCTGAAGTAATTCCTGTGGTGTGGCTATGTGCTACGCCTAGCTTACTCCCTCCGTCTTTTCTCTGTAGAGATGACCTGCATAATAAAGTGAAGGAGAGAATGAATGAGATAAGGGGGTGTGGTGCTTTTGAGACTTTCTCTCTCTGTTTTTTAGTCAGGAAGACTGTGTTCTTGGCACTGTGATTTTTGAACGGTGGTCTCCAGTTCCTGGTTTCCCCTCTCTGGTCAGATAATAGTATGCCCTTGTATGTGTTATGTAACAACATGCTAGTGATAGGGGCCTTCTGAACATAACGTTATCATGCCTGCTGGCAGCTCCCAGATTGGCTGGAATGTGCATTAAAATGTTGGCAATGCTATCCCATGTTGTTGGCTTTGGCTGAACTCAAAGTATAAATATCTGTTTTTCTGCTGTTGTTTGCTGTTATTAAAGCAAGATGCACATTGTAGGTTTTTGAAATTTATAGATTGTGGGTTTGGAGATGTATTACATGGGTGTTAATGACTGTATACTGTAGCATATAACCTTTGCACAGAGTGGCAAGAGAGCAGTACACATGGGCGTTGTCTGCACTGTTGTGTGAGAGAGAGAACAGACAGGAAACTGGAATAGTTTGCTCATACCATAGCTGTACTATTCTGGGTGTGTTTTCTCGGTTCCACATGTGACATGGCTTCTGCAGGTCTGGAGTGAATTAGCAGCGTTGCTCATATGACAGGCAGTGGTCAAGCTGTGTTAGTCATCAGGAGAATGACTCCACTTTCAGCAATTTGAGGTTAGAGTGTGCTTACAGATCACCCAGTCAACAGCGTTTAGAGCGTTTAAGAGATCTGGATCAAATAACACGTCTGGAGGCAAAATCTTCTTCAAAATGTCCAGTGGCATATTGTTATATGTTAGGGGCATTATATTCCTTTTGTTTTGGCATCAGTGCGAAATGTAAAGGAAATAATGTTCCTTGCTCTTTTTTATCATGCTGTATAACTGATCAGGCAGGGAAACCCATCATGCTTCAGAGTGCCATCCTAACCACAGATACCAATGTTGGCTAACTCACTGCTGCCACCTACTGTGAATGATCCATAATAGCCAGGTGTATGCGCTAATTACCCCAGAAATACCACTGTAAAAGCGTAGTGTCTTTCTCAGGGCTATTTATATTTAGCTTTACTGTCCATAACATAATAGCAATAATATGGAATGCATGTCATGTAGCTATGTGAGCGATACCGTTAGATACATTAGGGACAGTATCTACAGTGGGGGAAAAAAGTATTTAGTCAGCCACCAATTGTGCATGTTCTCCCACTTAAAAAGATGAGAGAGGCCTGTAATTTTCATCATAGGTACACGTCAACTATGACAGACAAATTGATAATTTTTTTTCCAGAAAGTCACATTGTAGGATTTTTAATGAATTTATTTGCAAATTATGGTGGAAAATAAGTATTTGGTCACCTACAAACAAGCAAGATTTCTGGCTCTCACAGACCTGTAACTTCTTCTTTAAGAGGCTCCTCTGTCCTCCACTCGTTACCTGTATTAATGGCACCTGTTTGAACTTGTTATCAGTATAAAAGACACCTGTCCACAACCTCAAACAGTCACACTCCAAACTCCACTATGGACAAGACCAAAGAGCTGTCAAAGGACACCAGAAACAAAATTGTAGACCTGCACCAGGCTGGGAAGACTGAATCTGCAATAGGTAAGCAGCTTGGTTTGAAGAAATGAACTGTGGGAGCAATTATTAGGAAATGGAAGACATACAAGACCACTGATAATCTCCCTCGATCTGGGGCTCCACGCAAGATATCACCCCGTGGGGTCAAAATGATCACAAGAACGGTGAGCAAAAATCCCAGAACCACACGGGGGGACCTAGTGAATGACCTGCAGAGAGCTGGGACCAAAGTAACAAAGCTTACCATCAGTAACACACTACGCCGCCAGGGACTCAAATCCTGCAGTGCCAGACGTGTCCCCCTGCTTAATCCAGTACATGTCCAGGCCCGTCTGAAGTTTGCTAGAGTGCATTTGGATGATCCAGAAGAGGATTGGGAGAATGTCATATGGTCAGATGAAACCAAAATATAACTTTTTGGTAAAAACTCAACTCGTCGTGTTTGGAGGACAAAGAATGCTGAGTTGCATCCAAAGAACACCATACCTACTGTGAAGCATGGGGGTGGAAACATCATGCTTTGGGGCTGTTTTTCTGCAAAGGGACCAGGACGACTGATCAGTGTAAGGAAAGAATGAATGGGGCCATGTATCGTGAGATTTTGAGTGAAAACCTCCTTCCATCAGCAAGGGCATTGAAGATGAAATGTGGCTGGGTCCTTTCAGCATGACAATGATCCCAAACACACCGCCCGGGCAACGAAGGAGTGGCTTCGTAAGAAGCATTTCAAGGTCCTGGAGTGGCCTAGCCAGTCTCCAGATCTCAACCCCATAGAACATCTTTGGAGGGAGTTGAAAGTCTGTGTTGCCCAGCGACAGCCCAAAACATCACTGCTCTAGAGGAGATCTGCATGGAGGAATTGGCCAAAATACCAGCAACAGTGTGTGAAAACCTTGTGAAGACTTACAGAAAACGTTTGACCTGTGTCATTGCCAACAAAGGGTATATAACAAAGTATTGAGAAACTTTTGTTATTGACCAAATACTTATTTTCCACCATAATTTGCAAATAAATTCATTAAAAAATCCTACAATGTGACTTTCTGGAAAAAAAATTATCAATTTGTCTGTCATAGTTGACGTGTACCTATGATGAAAATTACAGGCCTCTCTCATATTTTTAAGTGGGAGAACTTGCACAATTGGTGGCTGACTAAATACTTTTTTCCCCCACTGTATGTGAAGGAATATAGCCGGCAGTGATTGAAAAATACTTCAAATGGAGATGTTTAGCATACATCACATCGGTATGAGGGTGTCTCTTTATGTCTGACGATCCTAGAGCCTTTAGTATTCATGGGTTGCCATCTAATTAAATAGCTGTGAGATTCAGTAATACTCTCAGATTGTTCTACAGTACGCCTGCTTTTATCCTGCTAGTACTGTCTGAGACTCTCAGAACTCATTCAACCCTTTCTCAGACTTCTGTCAATATGGCTATGTAGAAATCGAAACAGGGAACTTTACATCTGGCATTGACATCCTACCCTGTCACTTGAAAGCTCTTTATACATCAGGCCAACAGTGACTCTTGATCTGGGAAATCCCAGGAAAACACTTACACTGTGTCTGTGACATTTGCAATCATGTGTGATGAATGAATAGCACTGCATGTTCAAACAAAAGCTACAGTGTTTATGATAAGTGGGGCTGCCTGCTGGTGCCTTGTAAAAGTCTTCCCACACGTGGGGCACAAGAGGCCATTACCCCAACCCCAACTCATATTTCAGACATGCCATGTTGTTTTCCTAGGCTTCTCCCTACTCGGTGCACAGCATTCCCACATATTTCAAATCAAATTGTATTTGTCACGTGCCGAATACAACAGGTGTAGACCTTACTGTGAAATGCTTACTTATAACCCCTTAACCAACAATGCAGTTTTAAGAAAATAGAGCTAAGAAAATATTTACTAAATAAACTAAAGTTAAAAAAAAAGTAACACAATAAAATAACAATAACGAGGCTACGTATATACAGGGGGTACCGTTACCGAGTCAATGTGCGGGGGTACAGGTTAGTCGAGGTAATTGAGGTAATTTGTACATGTGGGGTGGGGGGGGAGGGTCAATAGTCTGGGTGGCCATTTTATTAATTGTTCAGCAGTCTTATGGCTTGGGGATAAAGCTGTTAAGGAGCCTTTTGGACCTAGACTTGGCGCTCCGGTACTGCTTGCCGTGCGGTAGCAGAGAGAACAGTCTATGATTTGGGTGACTGGAGTCTTTGACACCACCTAGTATAGAGGTCCTGGATGGCAGGAAGCTTGGCCACAGTGATGTACTGGGCCGTACGCACTACCCTCTGTAGCGGTTTACGGTCGGATGCCGAGCAGTTGCCATACCAGACGGTGATGCAACAGGTCAGGATGCTCTCGATGGTGCAGCTGTATAACCTTTTGAGGATCTGGGGACCCATGCCAAATCTTTTCAGTCTCCTGAAGGGGAATAGGTGTTGTCATGCCCTCTTCACGACTGTCTTGGTGTGTTTGGACCATGATAGTTTGTTGGTGATGTGGACACCAAGGAACTTGAAACTCTCGACCCGCTCCACTACAGCCTCATCGATGTGAATGGGGGCGTGTTCGGCCCTGCTTTTCCTGTAGTCCATGATCAGCTCCTTTGTCTTGGTCACGTTGAGGGAGAGGGTGTTGTCCTGGCCCCACACTG